GGGGTTTCGTGAAGGTTTAGATCTGGGAAACAATTAGAAATAGGTAACATGCTCTACTTTACAATTTAGATACAAGTAGAAATTGACCTTTACAGAATCTCATTTGTGCAGCTCAAAGACAACGTAGTTAGTAGTAATTTATCCCTTTAAAAAGTCTGCTTATGTTTGAAATATGCTAGGAATGAACCAATCATTGCTATACATGTTCTGCATCTTCTGCACTTATTACGATTGCTATCCCATTAAAATCAGAAAGACCTTTAATAGCACCTTTAGAGAAGAACTCTTTGAATAGACCTTTTACAAAATTATTCTTTTTTTGCCCATTTTCGCTATTTTACAGAGTTTTGCTTTTCTACACATAGCTTCAATCTTCTACATGACCCATGTGTTCGGATTCTGTTCGTGCTGCAAGTCTCCAGCTGCTACCAGCTGCGCACCTGCGACTCGTTCAGGCCCGCTAGGCCACGCCCGCTGACGTCTTCACACAGCGCCCGCTCCGCCCACCGTACAGCGGTCATTCCACGATACTCACTGCATTGTCGTCGTCGTCGTCGTTGTCATCGTTGTCATCGTTGCCGTCATCAGAATCTTAAGCTATGCAACCTAAAGTGAAACTTGGTCCACGTAAGATTGGAGTTCAGGGTCCGTCCTTTAAGAAAAGAGGTTAGTTTTCAAGATTTTTCTTTATTTTCTTCAAAGGAAATTTTTTTAACAGGAATTTTTATGAATGCATCTATTATATTCTCTCTCTTCAGAATCCCCAAAGGAGCCACAATTTACTGCGGACGAGTTGGCTGAGCTGAAACGTCTCACCGCCCTTCTACCTCCTCGAGCAGCCAAAGAACAAGACCCAGCACAACTCGTCCTTAACGCTGCCAATTACATCCAACAACTTGTCGCTACCGTTCAAGCTCGAGTTCATAGAGGAACACTACCAGTTGGTAAGTTCCCACACTGAATCGATTACCGTAACTCGGTCAACTCTACCGTACCATCTCTCACAAACCTGTACACCTCGACACCCGCAATTATATCGTTATCTCGCGGCGCTCAGCAACGAATTGATTGCGTGTCGAGGTCATCTTACGAGCAAAACTTCCTTTGAATTTCAAATAGATGTTGACAAGATTTGAATCTTCTTTGTTGCAGAAGCCCTCGCTGCTCTACCTCCTGGTTCCACAAGACCGCCGAGAGTCGTTACGCACAAGAAAAAAAGGCGGTCAATTGAGAAACAGCACTAAGTCTCCCAGCTATTCTTCTATTCTACCGAAAATGCCTTAACTTTTTAACGTTTCTTTTAATGTGATCTGTGATGTCACAGCGGGTTTTTATGTTATTAATGATTTCATTATGTTTTATAAAGTTATACATATCATTGTACTGTTTACCCACGAACTGATAAAACACTG